CGCGCGTGCAAGTGAGGGCTTCGTGATCTCCCTCCAGGAAGGATCACGGCCTGTTTCCTGGTAGGATGGCTCAGGGGTAGGAGGAATGCGAGTGTTACAAAATCTTAGGATTTTTTTTCTATAAGTCACACTAGGGAAATATATAAGAACTACTTCAAAATTGAAGGGCTGTTAGTTCTCTCTGCTCATTGCTCCTACAGTAAAGTACATTATTAAAAGATTTCTCCGTTTGATACTAAGTCCCGCTGCTGTGAATCAAATCCAAGAGGAAGCACCCAAGGTGAGGAGGCGTCTCAAACCATTGCTGTTTCTGGCATAAGGCTTGAGCAGCTGGTGCCAGCCTAGCCACACATCCGTGCTTTGTGTTGAACGCGGTTTGCGTTCAGCCGTGTCTGCTCCAACGGCAAAATCCAGTTCACCTGCAGTTTGTGAAGTTCACCTGCAGAAGTGAAAGCATTAGTTTAGGCCTAAAAGTCTTGTGTCTTTATTGTAGCTTATCAGCTCGGTGTCTGCCCTGGAGAAGAAGGGCCCAAGGTAAAGATGCCATCACCTGTTTACTGGGCTGTTGTCAGAAGAGCTTCCTACTGCACACAGATGTCACTGTAAAATCGAACTGGGAGAATACAGAAAAATTTTCAGTGCCTTGGGTACTTGGTTTCAAAATGCATGGAGGAGGGAGGGGTATTTCTAGGGACAAAGAGGAGCCCGCGCTGGTAACGGTGTTGTGGAGGTGACCCTGCCCAAGCCAAGGGACGTAGGAGCTGGTCAACTAAAAGAGAAGAGCTGCAGGCATCAGGCTGGGGGCTAAAAGTGAGTAGTGGAGACATGGGGAGGAAGAAAAGGGGAAGCATTAATTGCAAAACTTCAGTGTAGCTAAATGACTTGAGCACCGTAAAGCGGGAAATTGCTGTGTTTGATTTTAGGTCAAAGACTCTATATCTTAAGAAAAAAAAATCGTATCTTGCAGGGGGTATTCTTGCTCTAACAAGAGCAGCTACCGTTCTGCGTTGGTTTAGAGATTTAGAGATGTAAGTGTGCTTTTTGCTGTTAGCAAACATTTCCCTAGTTGAAGAAACACCAACAAGTCGTAGCTTTCTGCGGGATGTTGCCACATCTCTTAGAAATGGTCAGAAAAATAACGTTTCCTTTTCCCATTGTTGTTCTTCAGGTCACATGGATTGCCAAAGCTGAAAGAGTCCCGTTCCCATGCGTCTTTACTGAGCCCGGGCAGCGCGGTGGAGACCTTGGATCTTGGGGCAGAAGAAAAAGTCTTTGTCAAACCACTTCACAGCAGCATCCTTGGACAAGACTTCTGCTTTGAGGTGAGGAGCACTCTCCAAACACCCAGCAGATTATACGCTGTCAGTCAGTTTGAGTACTTACGTACTCAAAGATGTACTTGGAGCACACTGGCCTGTGATGAGACAGCTGGAGAGCAAACTGGGAACACATGTTCTCCTGAGGTCTGCCGAATTGGCATGAGATCCCCAAGTCCTGATGGCTTCAGCCAGTCAGCAAAGAGAAAACATTCTCAATTACTGCATCTTCTAATTGAACATCTCTTACCTTGGGAAGTCTCTAGGCATTTGTAGTCAGCACACGTATGTACGCCCTAAGCATAGCTATTGCCTGTAAGCTGGGTTTTCATCCTCTCCAGACTCACCTAAATTCACTTTGAAAATATACCATAACTGAGAAATGTCATTTCCAGTGTGAACCATCTTGCAGCAGCTCAGCCCCTTCCCAGGTTGCTTGAGGAGAAGCTTCGGCAGCTGAGCACATTTCCATTGCACCGGGCAGCGGGGAGCAAAGCTCCTCTTTGCTTTTCAACCCGGGCTGCCTCCAGAACAGGCTGTTTGTGCTCCCACAGTCATTTCCCTGCAAGGGCAGCACCAAGCTGGATGCGCCCAAGGCCGTCGCGAGCGGCTGTGGCAGGGGAGAGTCAATGTGGCTTCAGCTGAGTCCTTTGCATGTGTCTAAAGCTCTGCAGTACAACCTGGAAGCGGCCCTGGCAGAAAGCCAGCGGGTAGCAGGCTCTTCTCTGAGCCTCGGCCAGGAGCT